TAAACCTGTGCACATTGAATATTGCAATAAATGGCTAGAAACAAATTTTGCCACACACATATAGAAAACAAATGGAAACTGAATGAAGTAAGTTTCAGCAGCAAATGTCAGACAACGACATTGTTTTCTTGCATCAAATGAGTCTAGACTGAACACAAATACACACATGCACGCAGAAAAAGACTGAGTTAGAAATGCATTCTCTTTTATTTCTGGCATTTGGCAGCTCAATATTTAAAAACCTGGTATTACACAAATATTTCAGGAGGTGACTCCAAAAGATAATTACTAAATATTTACTGGCAATTAATGTGGAGCAGGCATAGTAGAAAGAACTGGGTTAAAATCATCCTACCATTTGATAGAATGTATAAAACCATAAAAAGTTTGGATACTATCTTCTGAGAACCACTTAACAAAAGGTACATAATTTATAAAGTAATCACAGAACCTCTTTTCTCTATGCTCTTATCTCATTATAAAAATTTACATGAAAAATAAAATGTAACGCACAAATACAAGATAAATATAGGGGAAAAAAGCACACAGAAATTTCTTATGCAGAGTTAGACACCATTTTTGAGAGGCATGAGAGTACTAAGTAAACTGAGTACCTGCTCAACTGTTTGAGAATTTTAACAATCTCTGTGTATAGGTGACTTCATTAATAGCAGACCTCACACATTTCTTAGTTTGGAAAATATTACACGGGAGTCAGGCTTTCACCATGGTTTCCCACTGGAAGGGACATGTCAGCATGATAAATGGCTAAATTTATATTCATAATAATTTAAAACAGGGAAGTTTGAACTAAATAATGTGCACCTCAGCCTTCTAATTAGGCTAGGACTGCAAGGATATGCTGCCATGAAACCCAGCTATTTTATTTTATATTTTGTTTTTTAAAGACAGAGTCTCACTATGTTGCCAAGGCTTGTCTTGAAATCTTGGCCTCCAGCAATCCAGCAATCCTCCCACTTCAGCCTCCCAAGGAACTTGTCTTTTTCTTTTACTTGGAGATTATCTGTATGCCTTTATATCTATATCTGTATACCTGATAATGTTGAATGTTAACACACAATAAATAAAATACAACACAATATGGAAAATGTGTGTGGGGTTTCAGAACTGATGCAATCCTCCGCTCTTATTTAGTATTATTGTCAATGTTAAAATGATGATGTGCCTAACTCAGGCTTTCGCTCTTCAAAAGGGAGAAAAGGATCATGGAAGAGAAAGAAACAGATAAGAATAAAGTTCTGAAAAGTGAGGCCTGTGACACTGACCCATCCTCCTTCTGGGGCCATTTTCTTTAGGTGAGTCATATAATGGGATGTCCATGGGCCAGATCATTGAAGGGCCTAATTTATGAGAGTTGTAGGGCAAGGTCAGAATTATTTTCAGAAACTCTCTTATATCAATTTGACCATCTTTATCCTAGGTCACATAAACATTTTCTGTGTTGTAGTTACGTTATTAGTTATGTTATTCGATCTTAATGTGGATTTCTAGAGTAATTTTATTTAATCCATTATTTAGTATATTGGAGTCATTTCTGATAACTGTGGAGCTATTGATATTTCATTTGTTAATATTAAAATAGCCTAGAAAGTATAGTACTATGAAATAAAACAGTCCCAGAAACACTGCTGTTCTGCCTTTGCATAATCTATGCTTTACCCAATTAATAAAAAAGGACTTTAATTTATTGACACGTTTTCGGGTTGTGCAATGTGTGCACAGATCACGATGCTGGTTTGCTTATGCCTGCACAAACTTGGATTTTTCTCTAGCTTTTGCCTTTTTCAGCCCCACCCTTTTGCTTCTTTGAAGTCATTGCTTTCTTAATCAAGTTAAGAATACTTACATAAGTAGGGCATTGCTGACATGCTATACATCTATTTTATTTTCCGAAATAAAGAAAGAGCTCCCTCATCCAGTGGGAGCATCGTTCCATCGTGCTCCAGATCCTATTCCTGCTCCCTCACACCCAGGGAGTTGCACTTTTTTAATGTAAGAGCTGCTTTCTAAGCAGCCTGGATGCTGAATGGCTTTCTCAAAAGTGAAAACCAGGCACTATTGGGAAAGCCCATCTTTCCATCATTTCAGCTAACTTTCACTGTACACCTTGTATTCACTGGTCACTGTGCAAAAAACCAGGGATGAAGAAATTCAAAGCCAGCAACAAATAAGGCACAATTTCTCTACTCCGGAAGTTTACAGACTGGTGAAGGCAGACATAGGCAAAAGAGTAGAATGCAGTTCAGTAGCTAAAGAATTTATCCCTGCTTACTAGCTGTGTGACCATAGGTAAGTTCTTTATCTCTGCACCATGAGTGTCTACATTTGTAAAATGGAAGTGATGTCAGTCCATACCTATCTTGTGTGGGCTGTAAAAATTCAATAAGCTTCCGCAATTAGCATGTAATTAGCTCTCAACAATGATATGATGTTATGATGTGATGGACATTTGGATGTGTGATGTGAACACTATGTGGCAAGAATAATGCTGAAAGGGAAAGAGAGGGGCACCTCTGGTTGTTGTCCAGGAAGGTCTAGAGATATATGGCTATTTAATTTAAAAAGAACAGTTAGAACTGCAAAAACAATGTTCATCCGGTCTTGATGAGAAAGAAATAATGAGTCCCCCAAATTAAACCCTCTCAATTGATGAAGTGACCAGGATTACTCAGAGTGCAGTTTTTCGCACCCCTGAAGCACCAGGACATCATTCCAGAGTCTAGGAACGATGCTTATCAATCTTTTGCCATTGGCTTCTACTTGCAGGTGCCTTCTCTACTATTCAATCATATACTATAGTTTGAAAGACAAATGAACTCAAGAAAAGCGGAAAACAATACTGTGGTTTTTAAATCTGTCACTGTTCTTCCTCCACTTCAAAGTTGACTTGACAACTGCATTTATTTCACATTGCAATTGCTACAAGTTAATAATATTGTTTTATCAGGAAACATTTATCTTGAGGAAGAAAGTTATCCTAATACAGCAGATAACTTATCCAAGGACAAATAGAAAGGGGCTGTGTCTAGAGGGTAATGCTAATGCATGGCATGCTATAAAAATAAATGAAATCTGATTAACACTATTGGAGGGAAGAAAAAGTCATCGTTTCTATGAAATATTATTTTCCTGATTGGAACCATTTCCATTTTTGTCAGCTTAAAACATTGTATTAAAGATGAGATCACTTTAAAACTGTGACAGCTATCTCAAGCCTTGTGATTATAAATGGTGTTATAGGCTTGTAATCCTGTGGGTCTAGACTGAAGTAGTTTCTTCATAAATTGAAAGAGAAACACACTAGGAATTCAGAAGATTTTAATTAAAATTCAAAAAATTTAATGGGAATTTGAAAGGCTGGCTCACTAAGTATTATTGATAGTGAATTTAATTTATGGAAGAAAATTCCTAGCAAATTTGGCTATGCCAAAAATAGCCTGCATATGCTCTTTTTCTTGGAAATGAATATATATATATATATATATATATATATATATATATATACACACACAATATATATTTTCATGGAAGCAACATTAAGTACCCTGCTTTTCCTGATTCACATAGATTAGTTCATTTTCAGCTCCATTTAAATCTGTAAATTTAACCTAACACCTATGGAAAGGTAACAATTGTTTTTTAAGGGAGAAAAATAGATCATGACAGGTTAGATAGGATTGACTTCATGATAGAGCTAGTCTCTTTTGAAAAAAATAGTTTATTAATGTATTAAGTGAAAGCAGTGTGGGTCACAAATTAGGAAAGAATGCACCTGGATGTGATTTATTTTGAATTGGACTGCTGAAACACATCTTGTATAAAATCACTCATTCCTGTTTTTCTGTAAGTTTGCCTGCAGCATTGTATGGCATCTCTTAGAATGTGTTACACAACTCAGCAGTGCCAAGGCTAAGCAATGCAGAGGACAGGTTGAAAGCTGGTATTATGCAAAAAAATTTTTTAAAAATTAGCAAAAACAAGCAGGTGGGTTGTTTATGGTAATGCAGGTGTGGTTTCAGTAATAAATCAACCCACTTATAATGAGAATAGCTTGTATTTATGCAAGCCCTTTATGAAGCCAAATGTATCTTTAAAATATAATTATTTTAATTCAAAATGCATCCTTGTGATTAGCAAGGGCACAGGTTTAATTAACTCTGTTTTATGGATGAGGAAATTCACCATGTCCTCTGCTGATAGGCAAGTATTTCAATGGAGTAGATTCAACATCCTTTTCTGCTGCTTAGTTAGACCTAGGTATGGAAACAGTGGGTCTCTACTGATCACCAAAGAGATGACTGAAAATGGGACAATGAAGAGAGAACAGAGAAAGTCATCACAAAAACTGTGCATTGGGGCACCAGAGTGCCTGTAGCTGAATTTCCAAAGCAAATTTCCAGTTCATAAGTTGAAACTTCCATGTTGGAGCACCTTTTCTTTTAAACAAACAAAAACCCAAAGAACCAAGATGCAAATAATTGAACTGCTGTAGATATTCCCAAGCTTTAATGCACACAAATCAACAAAAATCATTGTGCTTTTGTAAAACTCAAATTTGAGTTTTAGCCTACTGAAAGGTTTACCCAAATGTAGAAAATCAGTCATTCTGTTCGTTAATTCTTCAGCTGGCTCTGAAGTTGCTTAAGAAAAAGAGAGAAGAAAATGAGAGATATTGGGTTATTTTTTCCTACTCTGAGATAATTTATATCATTTTCCATCCAACAAAAGCTTTACTTTCTGCCAGACATTAAATAAGAAACCACTTTGTTGAGAGGAGATTCAAGTGTTTTAGTTGCTATTTAGTTTGTTTTGTTTTTTCACTCACAAAATGGGATCCTTTCTGAAAGTTCTGTTGCAAATGTACAGTTCGTAATTATGTTACTGTGGGTGTGCGGGGTTGGGGAGGAGTCACAATGCAGAGTTAAAGTGGCCTTATTTTTGAGATAGAGTTTTGCTCTGTAGCCCAGGCTGGAGTGCATTGTTGGGATCACAGCTCACTGCAACCTCCAACTCCTCGGCTCAAGTGACCCTCCCGCCTTGGTCTCCCACACCTCTGCGAATACAGATGTGAGCCTCTGTGCATGGCCCAGCCACTCCTTTTTAATGTGAGAAGATGAAGAAAGACAAATTCCACACTGAGAACCAGGTAGGTGTCCCTCGCCTCCCATATCCCCAGAATCAATCATTAGGTAATTTTCAGAGTAGGTCCTTCAAGCCAACTCATGTATTCATTCATTTTTGTTCAAAAATACTTGAGTATCTCTTCCACACGAGGCAGTTTTTGAAGAGCTGGTGTATGGCGGCCAACGGCATAGACACAGCCTTTGCTTTACGGTGTTGATTGTCTGGTGTATGGTGTGGCATTTAGTCGATAGAATGATTTGTACACCCAGGAACACAGACACTCTTACTCTGTATGTCTGGAATGGCATATCAGTGATGCATTGAATCTCAATAAATTTGATAACAAGGTAAGAAGACCAGGTCTTCAGTTCAACATTAGGGAAATTCCCCAGTGAGTGATGCTTTGCATCTCATATTGTCTTGTAAGGACAATTAATAGAGCCTTGGCAGAAGCAAATTTATCAGTGAATAAATGGTCACTCCTATTTTTAAGTGCCATCCTTTCAGTTCTGTAAAAATACGGAATTATTTTATCAAATTGTCTGAGCTCAGGGCCCCTACATCTGTCCGTGTCATCTCCATCAGTGGCACTCTTGGAGAAAAAAAAATGATGTTGCAATAAAAAGTTATATCTGTGACCCCTTCCACCAAGGTACCCACAACTTTCTTCACCAGTGCACATGGCAATGCTCTTGTGAAATTCTTTTTAGGTTATCATACTACATTATCTGTAGGTGGTAGTAGGTTTGAAAATTATTATTATTATTATTAATATTTTTTTTTACTGCAACAACCTAACAGGAAAACTAAACAGAGATCAGGGAGAGAGTGGTATATCAGTCAGGGACTAATCAGGAACATAACCCACTTGAGAATTTAAAATAGAGCATAGGCTGGGGAGTCGGTGACAGCATCATAGGACAGCTACAAAGCAAACAGGAATAGGGAGGCAATCCAGAGCCCATCTAGGCTGGCAGGGTCATCATCTCCAGGCTGGAAGGGCAGAAGTGGAGCCAGGAGATGCACGGTCTCCTAGGGGAAGCTGGAGCTAGGGTGTGCCTGCCAGGCAGGAGCTGGAGTCACAGATACAACATTGACTATCACATTGTCATCAGACTCAGAGAGAGAAAGGTGTAGATATCCAGTATTCTCGTATGCTTTCCGTATACTTCATGCCCCACCCCCAGCATCCCCTGAGACATTCCCAGTTGGAAGTCAGTGGCTTATGGGAATCTGGCTGGAGGGGGATCAGTCTACCTGTGGCACACAGAAAGGCACAGAAACAGTGAGTCATGGATTTGGGCACAAACAAGCCCAGTCCCGCCACAGAGATTTACAGAAAATACTTTGTTACTGTTGAAGAGGGATATCTATAAGAGAGATGAGGAAAGTGAGTGATAGATTCTTTTACAATATTCTAGTGGAGTCTGTATGGGGGAGGGGGCAGGAGGCTATGGGAACTCTGTACCTTCCACTCATTTTGCTGTGAACCTAAAACTGCTCTAAAAGATAAAGTCTATTAAAAACATATTTTTAAAAAACTAACAAATGTTCTTAAAATTGACTAATGAGTTCAGAGAATAAATTGAGGATGAGATGAATATGTAAAAACATCAGCAGCTCTGTACATCAAAAAATACTCAGCTAAAAATTATAAATGTTTAAAAGATCACAGAAGATAAACATGAACATATCCCTCCCCATCTTATCTTTATTATTTTTTCCTGTTTATATAAAAACAACGGGATATAAACAAATAGAAAATAATACTGAAATATTTACAGGGAATCATGAAAACAGATTTTAATAAATTAAGATCCATATGGCCAGGTGTGTTGGCTCACACCTGCAATGCCAGCACCTTGGAAGACTGAAGTTGGCATATCACTTGAGGTCAGGAGTTTGAGACCAGCCTGGCCAACATGGCAAAACCCCATCACTACTAAAAAATACAAAAATTATCCAGTTATGATGGCATAAGGCTGTTATTCCAGCTACTCAGGAGCCTGAGGCAGGAGAGTCATTTGAAACTGAAAGGTGGAGGTTGCAGGGAGCTGAGATCCCGCCACTGCACTCCAGCCTGGGAGACAGAGCAAGGCTCCATCTCAAAAAAAAAAAAAAAAAAATTAAGATACCTATGTTGTTTCTGGGTGGCAGCACTCAATATAGTAACCTATATTTTCTTCACAAATGAATAAATATTAATCCAATCTGGAATACAGTTCCAATAGTGATATTAACATTTTCGTTTCAGCTTTTGTTTAGTTTGTAGGACTTACATAAATTTGTTTATGAATCATCTGGAGAAAAAAAAAAAGAAAGAACAGCTAAATCATGGTTACAAATATCAAGTGATAGAGTCCAAGAGTCCAACAATATAAAACATAAATAAACGCACCAAAGCTATAGTCACTAAAATAGGAAGATTTTCTTGCAAGACTAAGAGGTAGATCAATGGAATCAAAGGGAATTCCACGCAGACACACACACACACAATTTAATATTTTTAAACAGTATGATACTTTGTTGAGAAGAGAAAGTGACATTTAATAAATGTCATAAAATATAGTGGAATTTTAACTTTTGATAACAGAAAAATACTTACATAAGTAAAATAAGTATATAAATTTGTCATCTAAACATATGTAAGTATATATTTATATCAAGTAAAAAATAAGAAAATGTATATTTATGTACCTTTAAAAACATATATGCATATCAAAAGATGTGAAGGAGAGATTACAGGCTGGGCACCGTGGCTCATGCCTGTAGCCTCAGCACTTTCGGATGCCAGGTGGGCAAATTACTTGAGGTCAGGAATTCGAGACCAACCTCAGCAACATGGTGAAACCCCATCTCTATTAAAAATACAAAAATTTGCTGGGCATGTTGGCCAAAGCCTGTAACCCCAGCTACTTGGGAGACTGAGGCAGCCTACTTGAACTCATGATTTGGCAGCACAAGATCATGCCACTGCACTCTAGCCTGGGCGACAGAATGAGACTTTGTCTCAAAAAAAAAAAAATTCAAATATACGAAGAGTCTTTCATATTTTTAGCTACTGGACAATTTATTTCCTTCTGCTTTCCATATTTAGCCTAATATCATGTACCACTTAATGATTTACAGTTTGGGGACACATTGTTAATAATAGGTAGTATTTGTTGAGTCCTTAATATGTGGCAGGCAGTGTTCTAAATCATTTGACATGAACTGACTCATTTAATCCTCTTAACAACTTACAAGGAACATATTCCCTCACTTCATTATGTAAATAATAAAACAAAGGCCTAGAAGGGCTAGCAACTTTCAGAAGATCATATTGTCACTTTGCAACAGGTCTGGGATTTGGGTCCCAGAGAGGCGGCTGAAGCCACCATGCAACTGAATCCTGAGTAGCACAGTTCGGTCTCATTTAACAAGACGGCATCCACGTAGATTAAGGAATCTTAGCTCTTAAAAGGTTCTTCGAATTACATTTTTCCACCCAAGCCTATGATCACTCAATTGGCTGTGTAAGGTAGTTTGATAGGCACTCGCATTATTTTTCTGATTCAAAGAGAGTCTTTTCAAGCGCTACTTATTCAGGATGAGATGTCAATAATTTCCCGGAATCCAGGTGTGCTTCTATAGACTCCTGCTTGTCCTTGAGCTCTCAGGAGCCATCACCCTTGCTTCCAGAAAGTTGAGTTATTTGTGTGCCCTAGACTGTGAAATCAGAGAAGGTCTGTTTCTAAGGGAACCAGTTTATTTCATCCAAGAGGGCAGTGAAGAGTCATTTGTGAATGCTACAGAGTGAAGAAGAAGTTCACCACACAGCACATCCTCAATTTGAAACACCATTTCTTTCATTTCCCTTTTCTCCTTCAGAAATGTCTCCTTTAAAAAAAAATTATTTATTTTACTTTAGGTGCATACTATATCTGGCATTTCTCCCTATGTTATCCCTCCCCACGCCCCTACTGTCTCTCCCCTAGCACCCCTAACTGCCCCCAAATGTGTGATGTTCCTCTCCCTGAGTCCATGTGCTCTCGTCATTCAATATATGTCTACTTTTAATCCCCTGTAGCTGAAGGAATCACAACGTCTTTCCCTGACAGTCTAGATAAACTCTCTCCTGATCCATATTCAAAGTATCTAAAACCCTGAAACAAGTTCTCACAGAATACAGGTAGACACATTTTGTAGCCTTCCTCATCCCCTGAAGTAGAAATGACAACATCAGAATATATAAGAATGTATTGCTTTAATAGAGGGGCCTTGAATCTTTGGGCAGAAATGGGAAGAAGGAAGGATAGGTGATTGATAAAACCAATATTATTATTCTTGTCTTTGTTTCTGAATGTCTCCGCTTTCTCAGTTGCTCAATTCCAATTATAATTCAAGAAAAAATATTTGTAACCCTAACTTGACAGATTGTTGTTCACTGTTGAGCCTTTAAAATATAAAGACCAATATTTTATTTATAACCTACAGTTTTCAGTTTTTCTATCTAAGTATCTTTAAACATTTTTATAGTAAGTGATACAGACTCCTATAGAAACCAGTGCTTGACAAGATATTTCAGTATTACCTAGAAATAATGCTTTCCATGCATTTTATTATGAAAATATTTATTTTTGAAAAATAGGCTCTTAAATCTTTATAAACAGAAAAAAATACAATGGATTTATCATGATCTAGTCATTTCCTGAAATTAAGGAGATTTGTGAGTGCATGAAGATGTTTTCCAAAAGTCTATCTTGGAGATCAAAAACATCGCTAAAAATGTGAAAGTAATTTTTTCAAGAAAGGCCTTTGCCAATTATCCTATCTCTAAATTTTAATTTGGTATAATGACATATAAGAGACTAGATATATACATTATTACATCATGGCATGAAATCAATGTACAAATTATTTTATCATGGAATGAAATTAAACACCTAGTTTATAGAAATAAAGTAAGGAAAATGTAAAAGTATGTCAGCTGATTCATAAATGTAATTGGATGTGAAAACTTCAATATGAAGGGCTACATAA